TCGCAAAAAAAAAAAAAAAAAAAACTTGGGGTACCGTAGTATTCCGGCCTTCTAGGTGGTCGATGAGTGCGCGCAGCTCAGGGTCATCCCATTGAATATATATCATATTGTCGGCGTTCACTGCTCCGAGAAACACATCGTCCTCGTCGTCGTCGTTAGTGCGCTTGGATGCCAGCTCGACGGCGGCCCTCGAAATACAACCAGTGCCACTGTGCTTGCGGCCAGACTTGTATACCACAGTCATATCGAATTCCTGCAGTCGGAGACTACAGCGAGCTAGGCGTACTTTGGGTTCGTTTAAGTTTGCGAGCGAGCAGAGCAAGCGGTGGTTTGTTACCACGCGGAAAGAAAACGTCCATACCAATACGGTAAGAGCTTCGTTATCGCACAAATGACTGCACGGCATCTTTTTTTTTTGTCTTTAAGTAGTTACTCTTCGCCTTAGACAGCGTCCATCTTGCGTATGCGATGAGGTGCTCTGCATGTGCCTTCCTGCCTTTGGGTCAGTAGGGCGCCAAGTTCGATATTACTGGTGTAGGTGTGGATTTCCGTTTCTGAAAACTGGTCGAAATGGTCAAGGACAGGAGAGGTTTCAAGGCGTCGTTTCAGTTTGTCGAATGCCCGCTGTTGTTCCTCTGTCAACTTGAATTTTACGGCGTCCTTCCCTTCGTAAGGTGTGTCAGTGGTGCAGAGAGCTTAGAGAAATCCCAGAAAAAACGCCTACAGAAGGCACAAGGGCCCAGGAATCTTCTTGCAGCCTCCTTGTCCGACGGCGGTGAAAATAAGCCTACGGCGCGCGTGTTTTCGGGGTCAGGATGTACACCTTCGCTGCTCACAACGTGGCCCAAGAACTTCAGTTCTTCGTAAGCATATCGTCATTTCGTTGACTTGAGGCTGAGACCTACGCTCTTGATATCTTGGAGCATGGCTCGGAGCCGTCGCAAGGGCTCGTCTAAATTGCTGGCGAACACCACAGCGTCGCCAAGGTAGACCAGGCAGTTCTGCCATTTCAGACAGGCGTGCACGTTGTACATTAAACGCTGGAAGGTCGATGGCGCCATGCATAGCCCAAAGGGCATCACTTTAAATTCCTACAGCCCATCCATCGTGACGAAGGCCATCTTCTCGCGATCAGTTTCATCGACCAGGATCTGCCAATATCCACTCTTTTAAATCTACCGACGAAAAATATCGGGAGTGGCGAAGTCGATCCAATGTATCGTCGATGCGAGGAAGCAAGTAGACATCCTTAGTCACAGCGTTCAGTCGACGATAGTCCCCGCAGAATTTGAATGTTCCGTTTTCTTGACGAGCACGACTGGTGAGGCACATGGATTGCTTGACGGCTAGATGATGTCGTCGTGAAGCATTTCTTGAAGTTGTTCCTAAATTACCTCCCTCTTTTTCACGAAAACATGGTACGGTGAGTGGTGGATTGGGACCGCGTTGTCGTCGGTAACAATGCGACGTTCTTCCCTGTTGTCGTTTGTCGCACCCTTGAGGAGGTCGCAGAGCACTCAGTGAACTCGTCCAGGCGTTCAAGCAGTCGTCCTCGCTCTGAAGGATTAAGTTTTGGACCGATATCAAGTTCCGTTGGCGGCGTTCTCTGGGGCTGGGATGATGGCGGGTCTTCGGACATTGCCGTGATCCCGGTTGAGTCCTGGAGTTCCTTGATGTGGCCCACAGCGGAACCTTTGGGAAGGTGCTGCGGCTCCTGCCGGAAGTTCCTAACGAGGAGTCTTGCACGTCCGTCTTGAGGCGTTGTTACATTTCTTGCCACTAAGATTCCCCTTTCAAGAAGCAAGTGGACGCTGCCCTCGAGCAGAACTTCGAGGCATAAAGCTTCATCAGGCTCGACGGGTATCAAAGCACTCGACCGCGACGGCAGGTTCACATGGTTGGCGAGTAATCTCACAGCGGCTGCCTTTACCGTAGACCCTTCCGGCGCCGAAACAGGTTTTCAGAGTGTCAACCTGTTCTTTCCTAGGTCGCTGACCGCACCTCTTCTCTCACAAGAACTAAATTACGAGGATAACATTCTTTCTACAGTCTTGAAGAACGACGAACTTTACCGGGCAGGTTTCGCGGTGAATCGTGACGCGGACGGTGCACCTTCCAACTGGTGTAATAAGGTGCTCTCCGGCCGTTTGTATCTGCGGGCCATCCCAGGGTGTGGTGACTTTCTGGAGAGCTCTAGAGGTCCTCGCACTCAAAACAAAATAGTCTGCTCTCTTTGTCCACGAGTGCCGACGCGTCGTGGCCGTCAATGACAACGCTGAGGTTGTTGGGCCCTTTTGCGGTAGTGTCGTTTCGATGAGTGGCGTCTAAGAGTGGGAGCTCTCCGGCGTTTTAGGAGGCTCTTTAATTCGTCAGTCTACGGCAACTCTTCCTCCAGGGGTTGCCGCTCTTACTTTTCCGGCAGGACAGGGAGGACAGGCTCTCACGGCGGGATCAGCGTAGAGGCGATGCAGGGCGGTTGGGTGACGGCGAATGGAGACCGCGGCGAGGGACAGTCCCGGAGATGGCGACCGGCGGATATATTCATCGCTGTCCCAAAGACGCCCGCCGTACCTTGGGCGTGGGTCGCTCGGCTGAAATCCTCAGAGCCGAAGTTGGTGGTTGTAGCAGCGGCGATAAACATGCCCAGCCTCACCACAGTGGATGCATTATGGGCGGCAGTCTGCCACCCTCCATACGTCGGTCTTTTGAGGCTTACGTCGTAGCTGGTGGGGAGTATAGTATAGCGAAGGGGCCTTTCCTCGTGATCCCACCAAGTACTGCAGGAAAAACGGAAGCGGCAGGCGACGAGGTGCAGCGGCGTAGCACAGGGTCGGTGGCTCAGGAGCGGCGTTGTCGAGAACCCCTGGCTGGAGTGCTTGCTGAACTTTTTTTTTAGAGCCTCGGATATTGAGGGTGAATCTGGACATCAGGCAGTAGGTAGAAGTTTCTTGATTTCCTTCCGTATGACATCCCGGACGACTTCGCGGATGTCCGGAGTGTTGCAGCTGGACGACGTGAAGGTAGCGAAGCCAGGAAATCTTGGTAGTGGAAGACCTGCGATTGAAGGGCACGTACAATGTTTGTGGCCTCCGTGATGTAACCTTCGACGGTCGTAGACGGTATTCGGCTGACTGGCATCCGACAGTGCCTATCTGCGGGCCATCCCACGGTGTAGTGACTTTCCGGAGGAGTCTAGAGATTATATCACTCAAAATGGAGTATAGTACGCTCCAGAGTCCACGAGTGCCGACTCGTTGTGCCCGTCAATGACGGTCGAGGGCGGTGTTCGCACAAGGCCTCCAAAGACGTCTTCTTTCACTCCTTGCATCAGTGCCCGTAGCGTTTTCTCTTCTGGAGCGTTTGAGTCGGCGCGGGTCATCAGACGGAGTACGTCTTCGACGAAACTTGTGAAGTTCTCGTTCGGTCCTTGGCTTCTTGCTTGCAGAAATAATTCGACCCACTGACGTCGCTGCTGGCTGGCAAAGGTACGTAGAAACTCGGTCTAGGAGCCTTGCTATGACGAAATAGGCGCTTTGTGGTTTTCAAAGCAGGTGCCTACTGTGCGCTCCAGAGCGAAGTAGACATCCCGTAGGCTTTGCTCAGGCCCCCATCCGTTGAACCGCGCAACGTGCTCGTACTGGCTCAACCAGTCGTCCACAGCTTCATAAAGATCCCTATGGATATTCGCCGGCGTCCGTGGTGGGGCTGTACGTAGACGAGGGTCGTCGGTGGCGTTCCGTCTTGCTGCGACGTGGTGTTCATCGTTGGTGTCTTCTTCTTCCTCGGCTGCTCTGGTTGTTCACCGAACTCCGGAGGCTGGCCTTGGTTGTAGAGGCTGGCTCGCGTCTGGGGTTCATTGACGGGGATTAGCTTTCCGAGACTTGCAAAGCATCGATCCCGACAGATCTTCAGAGGGGTACGTTTCACGGGCATGGAATGCGGTACCCCGCATTTCCACCGAAATGTCACGAATTACAAATGATGAGGCGACGAATAACTGAAGAAACTAAACGTTTAATGGGGCAAGCTTGTGCTCAAAACAAGATAAAAGAAGTTTAGCGTCGTCGGCCTCGATGTTGGCGAAAAAGCAGGATCGAACGATGGGACAAGACTGACTCCGGCTTACCACGCGTAGCCCCTTTTGTACACGCGTGGGCTTCTGGAACAATCGGCGTAGAAGGTTAGGCGCGTAGAACATTCGGACCTCGGACAAGCAACCGGGTTCTCAAATTCACCAAAACGCGACATTTAGGAAAATAACAAAAAGGTTCGTCCGCTAGCAGGCATCGCATTTAGGCCCGTTTGTGGGGGAGCCAAGAGCGCTGCCGACTTGGCTAGCTGCGCAGGTGGCAATATGATTATCTTTGAAGGGACTTTACCTCTGGGTTTTTAGCCCCGTAGCAACTATCGGCCACACAGCGCCAGTGACGCCACCGCCGAGAATAGTGAGATGAACCTCGCACCGCAATCTACAAAAAAAGGTGCGGCTCACATTTTATTACGCCGAACCGATTTTTAATGAGCCGGTAACCGCCACACGTGATCAGAGTTATGTTCCGGTACGGGTTCAATACGGACTTTTAGCAAATCGTTGCCGTGCTCCGCGTACCGCATTACCGGAGACTTTGAAGCATGCTTTTAAGCGCGCGCACCGCGGTCACGGTACCACCCGGGCGCGAGCTTAAAAGCATGCTTCAAAGACTCCGGTAGTGCGGTACGCGGAGCACGGCAACGGTTTGCTAAAGGTCCCTAATATCAAACTGTCAATTCAGGTAATGGTTATGTTCTGCGGTTCGATACAAAAATAATCTTTTTGACGTAATTTCTGCTTTAAGGTTCGTTCTACACCCCGGGTACACACTTGAAGGGCTTACTTACACTAAAGGAATGGCTCCCGCACATAAGAAAATACGAAATGACAAATATTTTCTTCACAAATGTTACGCACGAGCAGAAACACTCGGAGTAACGACAGGAAGCGTTTTGACAACGATACTTACAGGCGAGCAAATTGACGCGCCGCCATTGTCACGCCACTGAATGTTCTTGCGTCGTCTTGACCGAATCCATATCCTCTGGTATTGCAAAATCCATCAAAGAAGGAAGTTTGGAATTCTGCAAATTAAAGAGGCTGTCTTGTGGCAAATTGTCTTACTGTTTTGAAGGAAAGAACATAAAAAACTCCAAAAGACATTATGGTCGAATATGAAAGTCCCAATCGGAAAAACTGAAATCATTACGTCTCCCTAAAAATTTACTAATGTTTTTTTTTTACGGCAATCACCAAACTAAAAATTTTCAACCTTTTCTGGCATTATATTTAGTAAAGACCTGGAAACTCCTGTGTTGATCTTAGTTGGCAACATACAAAAATCTTAACATCCGGTTTTAAAGATTTCAATGTGCTTATTGCATACCAAGTTCACTTTCAAAACAATTAAAATAAACGATTAAATTATAACGTAGAGTATCCAGATTGCCTAGAAGATAACATCAAAAAGTAGGCATATTTAACAAGATCTCTTCGCCGAAAAAAGAGTAGGAATGACATGATGCATCTTAAAACCTTTATCTACCTGCCGCTACTTTGTGTGAATTTCGAGACAATAAGTGGAAAGTGCCTCCCCTTCTCCCCTAAAAAAAGGAACAAAAAGTAGAATAACTTTTTTTCTTGCACAAATGTAGTGCTATTGGCGAAATCTGTCTCCTTCCAAATGTAGCACTAGCGGTCCGATGCAGATGCAAGAGTTTCACAAATGACCGTTATCTTGGTAAAAAAATATTTAAGCGATTTTCGGAAATTTTAAATCAGGCAATATCGGCCCAGAAGCCCAAGAATACGGGGAGATAAATGAACTCAGCTACAGGAAACGGCCCTCACTTTCCCGTTAAAACTTTCAGAAATTAACATAACTCTTAAATAAGACAACGGCTAGTTCCGAAACCTTGGCGCCTGGACCGGACTGCTAGCCTTATATTTGGGCGGAAACTACGCGTAAAGCAAACCGTAAAGGTTTTTTGTTTTTTTTTTTCGTTGAAAAAAATATTGCAAACTTTTTGGGGACACGATTCATATCTGACTGCGAGAGCGCGTCATTCTATACCAGTACCAAGTGACTGGCGCTGTTTTAGAGACTGCTGTACTACACCCTAACACTGTGTGCACAAATTTCAATTAGAGAGAAGGATGCCCTGGAAAGGCTTCGTTTGCCGGTAAGAAAAGTCCGCCGGCTGCATGCTCTCATCTAGACTACACGTGCAAAGCCTAACTTTATATTTGTTTGTGGGAAGATTTCCAATGCGACTCGCTCTCAGCGATGTTTTCCATGACAACAAAACAAAATATGCGAAGCTCCACATGCAACGGCGTTACCACCTTAATGCTTATTTCAAAGATAAATAATACCTGTGTGCCACAAGTAGTTTTGCGAAAAGTTTGTACTAAGATATGGCCTATCACTTATTCTGTGAATTAAGTTGGCGCATTCAATCCCCTTTAGCCGTAGCGTTTACATGGATTCGCATCGACTGGTAGCGGCACCACCTGCAACCCCTGTGACCAATAAATTCATTACTTCCGGCTAGCCCAGCACTCCATAGGTCGCGAGCTTGCGAATTTAGCAACTCTTCGTAACTCTTCGAAGCCGTCAGGCTTCTGCGCTTGCTCCCTGTTTAACTTTTCAGCCACTTTCCTCGAGGCTAAAATTCACGCGGCCAGTTGCTGCCTTAGCTGCCTTGATTGCCGCCATGTTGGTTGTTTAGTATCGCGATCCGGCATAACGCCACAATTTTATTACTTGGGCGAGCGCTCGATTTGATTCGCTAACGTTTAAGCTGATACCTTAAATTGGCCTGAAGTTCTCTAACCATGCACTCTCTTCTAGCGAATTAAATCTGATTTGCTTGGCTAGCGAATCCACATGCCTTTACATTGGCCGATTCGATACGTAACCTCGATTTGATGTGCTATTGTTGCATCCACGCAAGCGGAGCCATTTTGTTTCAATCTGCAGAAAGGGCGAGCGCGTGTTACTCGTTTTCCCACGAAAATATTTAGGCCCTTGGTATCACACTCATTCAGAACAAAGTTTATGCGGTTAGGCCACGGCGCCCTCCTATTGTAAATTCTTAACTGGCTCGAAATCCAATCTGCATTTTAAAAGCCCTGCGCAATGTGCGGTTGAATGAGTGAGCGCATTACTTAAAGGGCACTTTACATGTACGAGTGCTAATATAAACAAAAAATGGTACTAAGCTTCGTTCGCGCGCCTGCGCCTTGACTAACGTTGCACACAATAGGTACGATCAAGTAAAGGAACCTCATTTACAGTACCCAGACAGTACAGTATTGTACCTGTAGGGATTCTGGATTCAGAAAATACAGAATAAAACTAGGGACGTCTGCAGAAACAACCACACAAACCAACGGCAAATTTTTCGAGGTTCTTCGTTGCTAAAGTCAGGAGGGTGATCCTAGCCGTCAGTACTATTCCACTCACTAATATTTACACCCTTCTAAACCGGAACCTCGTGGTAGCAACTCATGGGAAAGAATAAGTTAAGCCTAACTTATTTCTTTTAAGTAGGGAAGTGTATAAATAAGGAGCTTACCGTTTTTCGCGGTCAACTGGTATCTATAAAGAAATGTTTGTTAGTTTCCGTACAGTATATATTAATTACAATGCCCAAATGGTTCCAACGTTAAGAAAGTATTATTGCAGATTATATAGCTTACATTAACAGACCATTTTCAAATGTCCATCGAGTAGCATTGGCGGTCACCATTGCTTGCTCACAAAGCGCGTGGTTGGATCCGAGTTCACGCCGAACTCTGAAGCAGGCCTCGTGCCCAATACATGCTCGGAGCATGTGAGAAAGCAATGGCGGCCAAGCGTTGCAACGGACGTTTGTAGATGGTCTATTGTCATTACAAAACAAATTTCAGGCAGTCTATAAAACTTTTATCTGCATTTTAACGACTTTTTCAACTTACCATACAGTCACGCCGTATCGACATTTATCAACAGATTTCCTATTGACATTTTTGAACCGAGATCGCTAAATACACGAAAAAAAATCTCTACAATTTCTATCGCCAATTCTCAACAGATTTTCTTGCATCAGTTTTTTGCAGAATTTCTATAGGCTAGACTGGATGGAATAATACGATGTAGTGCGGAGGAGTGACACGACAATTAATTGGAAACTTCATGCGCTGGCTGCTTTTTTCGACTGTGTCAAAGAATTCTTGCTTATTGCGATGATTTATTGCTGGAGATTATTGCCGAAGGAAAAGGAACACCCTTTCTAAAGTATCAAACTGCCATATATGGCGGTGGAGCAGCCAACACTACTCAATTTCTAGTTTTACTACTGTCCCGTAGCGTGTGTATTTGTGATGTATGCGTATGTGCAGGAGGCAAGTGGCGAATACATATTTCCATGAATGCGTTGGAATAAACCTAAAATTAATGCTCGAAATTAACTATTTTCTGCCAAAAACTGCTGAAATGTAAAGAGAAAGGGGACAGCAACGCTGTAGAACATGTGTCTGTTTTCATTACAATTTCTATCCAATCTCTATACACGAAGCTCTATGAAATGTCTAGAGAAAACGCGGCCAAAAAGCTACAGACAGCTGTTAGAAAACTGGATACATTTTCCCTAGTATATCTATAACCTCTATCCACTATTTTCTGTAGAAGTTATCTAGAAAGTGGATAAATATTTTTGTAAGGAACGTAAGCCCTGGTGCATGTTATTAGTTATACTTTGGAAATCGACAAGTTGACAAAAGAAACTGCACATTGCGTGCGAATTAATCCCATACAATATCGATGATCCTCAAAAGGCCTATCTGGAGATACATGTCTCACTCGAAAGGATAATTCGCTCGCTCACCTTTTTACAGCTATATTAATGTAGGGTAGGAAATAAGCTGCCCCCACCCTCTCTTTTGAGAAATAGCAAACTATGGAGATTTAATAGAAGCAATAATTACTTTATTAAACCCGGGCAAAGGAATTTCTTTATCAGCCTGGATGAAAAAATGTTTTTTTAAAATGTTTTTAGAACGAAAACAAATCGTTTAGCTGTATTTACGGCACGAAACGAATGTGTACTTGGTGCCCGCGGGAGACCGCAGAAAAGTGGCAACTAGCAGTCACGTTGTGCCTGCGCTCTTTTCGGGAGCTTCCTAGTGACTCTAAAAGTTACTTATTAATCTTTATTATTTTGTTGCCCTTCTCTGTAAAACAAAATAGTTTGATGCTTTAGACACAACAAGTATATGAAAATCGTCACTTCCGTTTGGACTCATACGACTCGAGAAGGAGCGGCGACTCGCCGGCACCACTTTCCGGCGCCATACCTCGGCAAACCTCACTCATGAGGGCCCTCACTCACCCTCACTCACCCTCATCTTCACAGGTGAGGTGAGGGTGAGTGAGTTTCTGAACCAGGACAATTCATGAGTGTGAGGGTGAATGAGGGCCGTGAGGGCTGTGAGGACCGTGAGTGCGTGAGGGCCGTGAGGGCGGTGAGCGCGTCAGGTGTGTCAGGGCCATGAGTGCGTGAGGGGCGTGAGGGCGGTGAGTGGCATGAGGGGTATGAGGGCCGTGAGGGCGGTGAGTGCGTGGGGGTGTGATGGCCATGAGTGCGTGAGGGGCGTGAGGGCGGTGAGTGTGTGAGTGGCGTGAGGGGTGTAAGGGCCGTGAGGGCGATGAGTGCGTGAGGAGTGTAAGGGCCATGAGTTCGTGAGGGGCGTCAGGGCGGTGAGTACGTGAGGCCCCCTTCAGACGGAGCAACTTTCTTAGCAATTTTGGTGTTGCTGGCAGGTTGTTCCATAGCTTTTCCTAAATCGACACGAATTGCTGAGATCGGGTCCGGCTCGCAACAAGAGAGCAACTCGGAGCAATTCGAAGACGTTTGAAGTGGCTGCATCCAACCAGGGACGCGATATTTTCACGTGATACCTCGTGCCGGTGATGATGACTACAAAAAACTTGGTTCCGGTTTGAAATTGGTCGTTTTTGAAAATAAACTGATTCAGAAAGATGCATTAGTATTCTCAACGACATATAAAGGCATAAAAACACGTTTATAGCGCGTAATTGTGTCTAAATAGTGCAAGAAAAATAAAATTTCATGATGACGATGGCAAGTTGCAGCAATTGGTTGCTGCATGTGAACGCGGGCGGCCCGTGCTGCTGGTGTTGCGACGTCAAGTTTCTGGGCGAAACTGCTACATCTGAAGCAGGCCTGAGTGGCATGAGGGCTTTGGGTGCGTGAGGGGTATGAGTGCGTGAGGGCCGTGAGGGCCGTGAGGGCGGTGAGTGCGTGAGGGGCGTGAGGGCTATAAGTGCGTGAGGGCCACTGAGGGCGGTGAGTGCGTGAGGGGCGTGAGGGCTATGAGTGCGTGATGGCCGTGATGGCGGTGAGCGCGTGAGGGGCGTGAGGGCCATGAGTGAGCGAGGGGCGTGAGGCGGTAAGTGGCGTGAGGGTCATGAGTGCATGAGGGGCGTGAGGGGTATGAGTGGGTGAGGGCCGTGAGGGCGGTGAGGGGCGTGAGGGCCATGAGTGCGTGAGGGCCGTGAGGGCGGTGAGGGGCGTGAGGGCCATGAGTGCGTTAGGGCCGTGAGGTTCAGTGAGGGTGAGTGAAGGGCTGAAGGTGAGTGTGACTGTGAGGATGGGGGTGAGTGAGGGGCTGAAGGTGAGTGTTGCTGTGAGGGTGAGTGTGAGTGAGGGGCTTAGGTGAGTGTGGCTGTGAGTGTGACGGTGAGTGAGGGCGACCTGAAATGCCGACCTCTGCTTTCCGCAGCAATATCGCTGACCTGGGAGCCTTCCGCGGGGAAGTTCGCTGATCTTCGAGGTTCGTCCTCGTAGGGGCCAAACCCTATCTGCTTGATGCGGTCGAGACGTTTACGATTAATTTCCGGATCCATCGCAATACACGTAGACTACCACTGCTACCACAACCAGCACAGAACCCCAAGAACACAGCAGGCGCCGAAAGTTGAGACGAAGTCGCGCGAAGCTTGCGTATGTTTTTCAGCAGAGCAGCCAAGCCGATCCAAGCCGGTTACCTCTCCTCCACGCGGAGCGCACAGGCGCGAGAGAGAAATGTGTAAAATGGGACCTTTACACCTCGCTTGACAGAAAATCGTCTCGCGCCGTAAATATAGCTCTATTTCTTTTTTCGTTATAAATTCGTTTTATGACAAGTTTTTTTTTTGCATCGAGGCAGTTAAAAAAAAACTTTGCATCTGTTTTTAATGATAAAATTAAAAAAAGTGAAGTTGCAGTATAGAATGTTTTATGTGACATATACCAATATCTTGTTACGGTACCATCTGCTGATAAGGACTGAATATATCGTGAAAAATCAGCGCAATCGCTTGTACACATGGTGAACTGTTAATGTTTAAGTCACATTGAAGGGTCGGTTTAAGACGTACTGGCCGCAGAAAGAAAAAAAAAAGTCTCAACTAAGAAAACTTATACTGAACTGCCAGTCCGGCTGCTTCTTGAAGACGTGGTTTCAACGAAGACCGTTCACTTACTTAAACCGCCTATTGCACATGAAGCAAAGCGATCACAGATGAAGTAACCGAACCTGAGCTCTTTTCGAATGCATTTAATTCGTTGATTAGTAAGGAGCCCTTTTCGAGGGCCTTAAATAAACTTGCCTAAATTTTGTTCTAGGACACTATTATCAACAAGCTGACGTATAAACAACAGCATTCGCACACGAAATTCCTCTCAAGTTAACGTTACACACAGAAACACTGCGAGGCAAATTTTTCTTCCACCATGCGAACCAAGCGAAAGTGTAGAGCCCAGAACGGGTGTCAAGTGATGTTCATTCCAACAAATCAACTTAGATGATGTAGCTTGCGAAGTACTTGCTCACACCGTTCGTGCAGTAATTTTTCCGTTATGTGTTCCGTGTGATAGAACAAATATATGAAAACACTGAATAAATCATACAACTTAAGAAAAATGTAACGGGGGAGTCAGAAGCCGACTTTTTCTTTAGAAACTTGAACTTGCAGCCCTTTTGGGTCATCCCTGATAAAAACCTTGTACGTAAAATTATTTGTATTGGCCGTCGTGTGGGCACAGCCATTTTAAAACCACGTGATGCGGGAGCCTTTTTTTTGGTTCAACTCTTCATTCGATTCCGCAACTTGACGAATGCGTGGTATTTGTAATTTTCACGTGTTTGACCGTGTGTTACGCAATATTTGGTAAACAGTTACGCGATGCTTATGTTTACTACTAATCGTCTGCCCTAAAACTGTGTAGTAATCTTAAAGTTGATTGTGTAACAGTTTTTTTTTTGTGCTTTCGGCCTCGGTCAGTCAGATACACGCGCTGTAAAATGCGTGCTGTAAACCAGCGTGGCAGTAAGATAGTTGAATAGTGTGCATTCTATTTTTGTTACATGTCGGAGGAATGCTTACTTACGGATGTAGAAGAAAAACCAGGCCATCAGATGAAAAGTTATGCTTAATTCCGAACTCCTGCAGTTCATAAAGGTACTCTTCAGTGCTTCTCTTATTTGCTAGGAGTGTACCGCTTTCATTGGACTGTAAAACACGTGCATCTCCGTTACATCACAGAAGCACAGTAGGCACTTTCAGTTAATGTAATAGCACTGGTGTATTTCTAAGCACTTGATTGCAACCAAGTATCATTTACGTAATATTGATATAATGCTTACCGTCATGTTATAAGTGTCAACAAGAACAAACTCCACACTTGGATTTTTTATATCACGAAAAAAAAGGTTCACCTGCAAATAAAAAACAAACAAACAAACGATTTACAAAAAAAGTTTGGACGGCCAAATGTGTGTGGTAGCACAGAATGAATATCAGATGATTTTAATAATATGAGCAGTAAAACGATCTTTATAACACAGAAATACTCTGTAAGTTTGCATAGTAACATGCAAAAAGCACTTTAACAATAACTCTTAGGGGTCTGAGTGCTTCACTTTTCATTTCTCGAAAAGGCATCCCTTATAAATAGGTCTTAGCTTACCCACACTCAAGCCATCAAATGCCGCTCTCTTACATCATCACAGCAACATAGGTTCGTTCATAAGGAACATTTTTAATGCTAGGCTAAAATACCTGTTTCCAGAAATAAGATACCCCAATCAAACTTACAGCTTTTCTTTCCTGTTTAATAAGTCGACCAAATGTTTAAAAGGGTAAGGCGCGTGTTTCATTTACTTGTTTCGCTTGAATAGTTCGCCATTAAGTTTGAGTATCGGAAGTAAATTCCTTTTAGGAAGCAAAATATTCTGTAGAATTAAAGCAAATCAGTTGTTATTTAAGCTGAGGTTTTATTACGTCATAAACTAAGAATAATTCTGCTGAAAAGTGATCTTATAATTCTGTAGATAACGTAAGTAGAGTTTTATCTTGAACTCACCGAGTTTAGAAATACTTGTAGATACACGTCCAAAGATGCATTTTGGTTGCGGTGATATTCCAAGAATAAATGTTGGTATTTATCATCGAGAACCATTCGCACTCCAACTTGGCGAGTATCTAAAAAAGTGTGAGCATCAGAAATATGACATTCATTAAATTGCAATAAATGTAGTTAACAATACATCAATCAGGTGTGTACGAAATCAAGCAAGACTTAAATAACGCCCATTAAGCCTGCACGGCGTTCCTGGAAGTTACGCTAGAACTTGTTTATTTTTTATTATCGTCGGGCCAGTTCTCTCCTAGGCATCCGCATTACATTTCAACCTAAAAATTCGGCTTCGTACAATAGGGCATGCTATAAATTTGTGGCGCTCTCACTTAATTCTCGGTACATTACGGCAATTTGACGTACGGGCCGTGAAATAGCATAGCAATGACGAAAACAAAAACAAGTTGATTTTGATTTAACATCTCACATTTTCAGAACGCAAGAAAGGCAGGACCATAATAAATCAGAGTACGTGTCAGATTTATTTTGTGTTCGTTTCGATTTGTGTGTGTTCTGAGCTCATAAGAATAAAACGGAATAAATGGGCCGCTTCCAGGCTATACGAAGTGCCAGAGTCTGCCTGAGCGTACATTAGAACAGCTCCTCAATTTCCGGCGTCAAGCGTTGCAACTCGGGATTACCGCGATGCCTACTGAGATTTTGCGGGAAAGTCTCTTGATATACCGGAATCAGCGTAAGAACCCGTGGTAAGGCTACCAGGCACCACTTTGAACACCATCGATGCGGGAGTCACATGCCTCCAGATCTCAGCAAAGCTGAATGGAGTCGACGTTACTTTACTAGCGTTGATAGACACAGGATCACCTATACGTCTCGTTGACATTTCATATCTGCCGTCTGTAGTGTCTAGTTGCAGTTTGCGTTCAAACTCCACAACTCCCAGCAACCAAATGTACATCGACTACCTAGAAGCATGCCGGGGTGGGCCTCCCGCGGCGTAAGCTGAGCACCGCAATGTAACCTTCAATATTTCTATGTAATCTCACTACTAAACCGTGTTAAAGCCGCTACATTGGCGAGGAGAGTAAAAATCGACAACCCGTGCACACACGCTGCACCAAATCGATGGTTTTCCTGACCAGCAACTGTCTAAACTCAGGCTCTGAAGATCGCCACCACACCACGTTGAACAAACGACTGCCTAGACATGACCATCCTTCCACCATTCCCAAGCTTCGCTGTGTCCGAAGGTGCTTCTTGTGCGGAGCCTCGCTGGTGGAAGCGAGTATATAACGCGATTCAGCAACCTTCTTTTTTGGTGCAACATGAAGAAACCGACACGTTCGAAAGCGATGCTGCAGCCCTACGCGGGCGTCGAAGTGTGCGACATCTACGGTCGACTTCACCAGCGGAACCACTCCCAGTGCATAGAAGCTCGTCGTCGAGCAGCTGACGAATCACTTCCACTCAAAGTCCAACCACGATCACCAACACTGCCTGTATCGGTAGGAGCGTCAGCTCGGCGACGAAGGTATTGACACCTACCACACGAGGATATGGCACATCGCCATGCTCTGCGGACTCACCGTCCTTGATGCCGACATCAAATCACATATCATCAAACTTGCTCTTCGGTAACTTTAAGACGCAAGTCGCTTTACAAACCGGACATGACGCTGACGCACCTGCTGGAACTGGCGCGCACCACGAGATGGCAGACCGGCAAGCCAAAAGTACGACAAGCGCCCCTGGATAGACTACAGAACACTACCCTGCAGGTGCAGACACGACGACTTTCACGGTCTAAAGAAAAGGATTACAAAGAAAACGATTGGTCATCCCGACAGCAAAATAACTGCACGTGTGGACGTTGTGTCGGTACCTACCCACAATGCTCTGAACTCTAGTGGGCAAAGGGTCAGACATGCAACAGTTGCGGCAATGAAAACCATTTTGCACGAGTCTACAGATTATGGCTACGACCAGAGCGACGCTACTGGATGAGACGAACACACTAACGACAGTGGCCTCTACGAATTTTATCTTGCAGACGGACGAGCGACAGAAGAAGTTGCCACGAACATCCATCACCTTCGGCTCTTTTGGTACCACCAAGGCAATCATCGACTCAGGTGAAACTGTCAACACCATGGGAGAGCATATCTTCAACTTGCTTACTCAAGAAACTTTTTTTGTAACCATCAACACACCAGGTCTACCTTTATGAATCCTCGAAACCTCTTCACATTCTTGGTGAATCTCTGGTGAATCTCTGATGACGTGTACGACCATACGGTCGTACACGTCATCAAAGAAGACAACCACGCGCTAGCGACACTACTCAGCCGGGAATTAGCCACTGCGTTGGGCTTGCTAAAAATTGTGCACTTGTTGAGTACCCCTGACCCACTCCGAGAAAAACCAGAGATCGCCAATGCGATCGGCCAATTCGAAGCGACATGTGTGTATTTCCACATCAACCCCGCCTCACCTCATCCGGCTCAGAAACCCCGTCGAGTATTCTACCATCTCCAATCGAAGGTGGAAGCTGAATTTCAAGCTCTTCTCGGTGCAGTCATCATTGAACCATGAAGGGACCCACAACGTGGGTTTTCCCGATTGTGATTGTCACAAAGCATCAGACCGAACCCCGATCCGCATCTGTGTGGACATGAGCAAAACCAACGTGGACATTTAAAGAGAGCGACATCCTACCCCGACCCCCAGGAATATGGCTGCTGAGCTGACACATTCCAGGCTGTTTACGAAAATTGACTTACGACACGGATACTACCAGCTAGAGATCGACCACAACTCTCGCATGCTTACCACGTCTACGACACCATCTGGCCTGTTCAGATACAAGCGCCTCTTCGTCGGAATATGCTCAGCTACTGATATATTCCAACGTGCTGTCACCAAATATCATCACGAACATACGTGGAATGCTCAACACCAGCGAAAACATTCTCGTCCATGAATTCACAAGAGAGGAACACGAGAAGGCCCTGCATAGGCACTTGAGCGAGTTGAGCAGACTGGACTCTCACTGAACGCTGCCAAAGGCTCGTTTCTTTAGCCCAGCTAGAATTGTAGAGCTTTGTATTTGGCAGTGAAGAAGTCAAAGTTTCATCCAACAAAGAAAAGTTTATTTAGCAAAGCGGAAGGCACAAACCCCAGAGTTCGTCAAGGAACTGAGGAGTTTTCTAGGGTTTGGGACATACTGTTCTCCCTTCGTATTGAAATTCGCCACGGTTTCTGCACAACTTCGAAATTTCCTTCGTAAAGACGCCGCCTGGCGATGAATCCCAAAGCACCAAGACGCCTTCTCCCAGTTCAAGGAAGCCGTCACAAATGCAACAACACAGAGGCACAACAACACTAATTCTTGAAGCCAGCCCTGTTGGATTGGGTGCAGTACTCACCCAACACAGTCATGAGGGTTCCCGTCCAAGAACAGTGCTGTAAGCCAGTCGCTCTCTGATACCAACGGTAACACGATGTACGCAAACAGAACGAGAAACTTTGGCCATAGTGTGGGCACGTGAACATTTCCACCTGTACATCTACGGAGCAGGCACCTTTTGCGGTTGCAGCAGATAACAAACTTCTGACAACCATGTTCTCGACAAAAGCAACCTCCCTCCCCCTCCCCTCCCCCAGAATTGAGAGTGGCGGCTTTGGGTGCAGTTCTATGACTTCGAGGAGCAATATTGACCTGGAGATCATCACCCTGTCGGATATTTCTCAAGACACCTTTTTGATGTACCAAAAAAGATCTCCAACGCTCGACTGAAACGATTGTTTGCCTCACCTTTTAATCAACCCGGCCCAAATCACTCTCCCTTAACAAGGTTCGAGCAAGTGGAGACAGGCTCTACACGTCTATTACGGAAGCCACTGACAACAATACCTGGTATCGACTGCAAAGGAGCTTTCCTCCACCAGGGACACAGAGTAGATAAATGCACTCAAGAAAGTGAGAGAGCAGCTCACCACACATACCAATCTAATCCTTCGTGGCACAAGAATCCTGATACCCAGACCTTTTCGCATACCTGCTGTGCCGCTGGTTTTTATTGGACATCAAGGAATTGCAAAAACAAAACAGCTTCTATGCAAAAACATGTGATCCGAATAAATGAAAACTCTCTGCACCAAAACAATCCAAGCCTGCGTTCTATGTCAAGCCTGTGACGAAAGGTCGCACCAGGAAGCGTTCAGCATGACCAAACTTGCCGCGTTACACTGAGCAGTGGTGGCTATTGATCTATATAGCCCCTTGTTGTCAGGAAAAGACATACTTGTTATCATCGACGAGCAATCACGCTTCTATGTGATGGAGGTAGTTTGGTCAGCATCTGCCGAACAGATACTTGCAAGACTCCGCAAGACCCTTGCTCTCTTCGGCGCACCAGACGTGTTTAAGTGCCCACTCTTCAACGGCAAGAACATGGCATCCCTTGCTGCAATACTGAACTTTCACCACAGAAAAGTCACTCCATATTGTCCTCAGGCCAATGGCGCTGTGGAAAGGTTTATGAGACGTCTTTTGAAACTCGTCCAGACCGCTCACCTAGGGGCAAAGGATCTCGAGATGGAACTGGATGCATATTCTGCCAGCTACCGGCAGACTCCCCACCTAACCATAGGCCGCACACCATATGGCATGATGTTTGGAAGTGTTTCAAAGAACTATTCCCCACTGCTACTCCAACAGAGTGTCAGCAAACAGAAACACTCAATCATCAGAGAAAGAACACTCGATCACCAGAGGAAACACTGAATCATAAAAAATCAATGCTTAAACCGATCAATGTATACAGGCGCACAATCGCGCATTCTTTGGGGGGAGGGAGTCATCAAATGCGGGAAGCAAGAAGGAAACCCCAATCAGTATATGACCCCAAAAAATTGGCAGTCAACAAATAATTAAAACAGCGCGAAAAACACAAGGGCAAGTAGAAGAGGGACAATATCACTACCGACTAGCCTACCTCTGAACATTACTGCAATCGACAGTCATCGTCACAAAGGGAGACACTATCGCCATTGCAAGCGAAGACGAAAATAAAGTTTGCCGAAACAAGACGTATCAGTCCCA